ATATATATGTATATTTATATTTATATTTATATTTATATTTATATTTATATTTATATTTATATTTATATTTATATTTATATTTATATTTATATTTATATTTATATTTATATTTATATTTATATTCATATTCATATTCATATTCATATATTATATTTATATTTATATAATTACTAGCGACCCGCCCCGGCTTCGCTCGGTTGCAATGCTGATACTAAATACACTACTGAAAAACTGTGAACGTTGTATATAAAAACATAGCGGCCCGCTCCGGTTTTGCACGGGTATAAAATATATAGCCTATGTTACTCACAGAAAAAATTATTAAAATCGATCCAGTAGTTTTGATTAATTCATTACTGTCCTTGGCCTGCACGCGTTAAAGGGCATTGCCCACTCTTCATAGACATTTCGGCCATGGGTGCCCACATATAAAAGCATATAGATATGATAATATACAATTAAAAGAATGAAATGGTTAAGAAATTGGTTTAAAAAAGTCGGGAATTTTAAGATATAAATGTTTTTATTTTCACAAATACAGTTTTTTAACAACTAATTTTACCTATGTTATCGCGTTTAATTTCTTTGATTTTTAATTCCCGATGTTTCGGGTGCTTTCCAACACACATGATCATGGGGGATTGAAGTGACTGGTGTACCGAAATCAGTGTTAACTTGGAGTAACTTCAGCTTTTTAATAACTATTTATGGTCCGATCTACGCAGAATGAACTTACTGTCTTGAAGTCTTGCGTGGTATGCTTGGGTTTAGTTTCAATTTTATTAATTACAGGGTCCCAAGCAGGTGGGAGTACCCAGCTTCATTCTCTAATGAAATTAGAATGTTTGAATCTGGGTGCAATACATTACCGACTTCAGATTGCAACGAGGATGAACTAGATGATTCGGATGGTTCCCGTTCTGCAGTTGAATGTGATGCTGCTCTATCAAACCTTCGCCAACAATTATGACACACACGAGATGACGATGACAACTGAAATAATATTAAATACAAAAGTGAAAAAGTGAACTAAATAAAAATAAAATAGATTTGTTTCCTTTAAACTCAAATACATATAAAATATTTATCAAGTTAATTGTTACTGCACAAAAGCAGACTTAATGGCCTATATTATTTAATAATTAAGCACTTAAAAACTACCAGTAGTCCAAAAACAATGAAAAATCAATTGTCTCATTACTTGGTAGTTGGTAAAAACGGTAGCAGTCTATCTGGTGGTGACAAGCTAATCTTATTGCCATGTTATAAATAAGCTTGTATGTTTGTCAGATATAGTTTGTGTGGATGTAATCAGAGTAAAAACATGTATCACTATCAGATACGAGCACACACACTTAATAAATTAAAAAACATGTACCTAACGTGGTGCAATTTGATGGGCAATTTCATTCCTTATGAGTTCCTCACGTGGAGAATCAGACCCAAACAATGTGTGTGATCTTATTCTCAAAAGTGACTTGCCACAGCTGATACATATATGTCCATGACTAATAATTGGTGAATTTTCCTGTTCGCTAGTTGGATGTCGTATTTGATTCCAGGCTGCAGTCTAACATGCGTGGCATACTACACTATCACTCAAAACTTGTACCTAATAAAGAAGCCATAATTATTATATCAATTGATATAATTATAAGACAACTCAGTTAATTAGTATTGCTGCAATTGTAGAATGAAGAAAAGGAAGACATGACACAATCATGATTGTAACTATTTACCTGCTGTGGTCGAACCTATTCTTGTATAAGATTTCGCAGTTCTGGAATTTCCAACAAATGCCTTCGTGTTTTCGTTATATTTAAACAATTTACAGAGCGAAAATGTCCTCTTGAATGAGTTACCGAGGGCTGGGAAGAAGTCTGGCCGGCGTGGAAGCTGGGATCATTGTTAACAGTGGATATCGAGTCCAAGTTCGTGCAGAGGTTATTGAAGCAAGCGGGTGCGGGGTCCATGTTCAGGCCGTGATCAGTAGGGTGGGAAAAAATGTCAGAGTCCATTTATAAGGCTTGTTCGTTACTTCGATAACAAATTCACAAAAATAAAAACAAACAAAATAACACGCAAATGAATTCTACATGTGACTATTTATATAGGTACAGATATAGTTTTGAACTGAATTGTGAATTGTGATTTCATTCTAATGACAGGGCCTAGCTGTCAGACTCGATGTTGCCACTTAACTGACATAAAATCGATGAAAAGATATCGATTTTTATTCGATTTATAATATCGTTAAAAAAACAATCTTTGAGGCGCTTTAAGTTCTGCACACTTTTTAAAATATATTTTCCTTTATTTATTTAAACGCTATTTGAAATGTATTTTTAAGAACAGTTAAATTGTGCAGTAAGTTTTGTTAAGCTTTAACCTTTTGAGCGCCACGCCAAAAACGCATTACCGTGTCCTGTACACCAAAGCGCCAAAACAAAATAGTGTTGCCAAGAGTTGATATATCGATAACGTAAAATAACTTGTTTTTGTTGGTTTTTTATGCTATAAATGACTCTTTATAAACTGTATGTTTTATTTAATCTTGTGCTGTCTTCCACTCTTTTTATATATGTACTTTGTACATATAAACATAAATAAAAAACAAACAATAAAAATAAAATAGTAGTAAACCACAGCACTACTCTCCATTCTAATGACGACACTGTCACGACTGGACGACAACGGCGTAGCTGACCTTCCTTTTTGAAACATTCTTCGAATGTTGTGTATCGATTTCAAAATCGATCTAACCGAAATATACAGACATCGATTCATAATATTTTATGTGTCGGGGAAGGCGTAGGCCAAGTGAAGCACAGAAGAAAAGTCTTACACTCTTATGACAATGGGGATTTGATATGATGCTGATGCTGCTAGATGATTTTGAGACTGAGAAAGAAAATGGCACAACACAAAATGAAAAATTGCTCTTCACACCTTAAGTAAAAAAAAACATTAATTGTAATTTTATATTATTATTAAAAAAAGGTACATAATTATTCATTAATCAACAATTGTATATAATTATTCGCACTAGGTAAATCAGCCTTATAATATTAAAATCTTGGTCATGGAATAAATAAACATAATTGTTCACCAATCAATCAAAAATTCAATTCATCAATAAAAAATCAAAATTCATCATCATCGACGCTTTCCAAAATCCGAATGAGTTCTGAGGAATCGTTCATGTTGCATTGCTCTACTTTTCTCGGTAATCACTTATGACGTCATCAGGGTGTCGTCTATTCTTGATCACGGTGCCCAGTGAACTGATTTTCGATGACGCGCTAAAGATGCGCTAGAGTTGAGATATTAGATTTATTATGTGAAGATGATCTGGCAACATTTTTTTATTCATGTAGCTAATTATAGTTTTATGTTTCTAACCTTTAATTTTATTCAAATATCAATAATAATAGAAAAAAAAACACCATTGAGCTGAATTTTGTATAGTTTTCAAGAAATCTATGCCTCCCGCGTTTGACACTAGCGGTCAACCATAGACGACTTTGGCGTGCTGGACATAGTATTTGCTTAGACAAAAATCCATTTTTATTAGTTCAATGTTTCTTAGTACTTGTGGCTCTAGAAGTCTTGTTTTTTATACTCACATGTTGCTGGGTTATTCCTATTTTGAGGAGTGTAGAATTAAAATACCTGTAATAATTTTCCAATATCTATATTTCATATTTTTAAAAATCTCAAAAGGTTAAAGGATTCATGGTAAATCAGCTGGAAACTAACTTGTTTCATTATCATAACATGATTCTATTTTAAATGTATTGTTATAAACAGATAAGAATAACTTAACCGATCTTATTTGAAAACAGATAAGAATAACAGTTCTTATCTGTTTTCAAAGAAGATCGGTTAAGATTAACAGTTAAATTGTGCCGTAGCGTTTTGTTACTCTCTAAAGAATTCATTGGAAATCAGCTAGTAATACGCTTGTTTAATTATCATAACATAATAATTATTTAAAAATTATATTAGCACTGTAATGATGACACCGTAAATAATCGATCGAAAAAGAGAATCGATTTTTTAAATGTGTTTTGTGATTGGCAACACTTTTTTTTTATTCATAAACTAATGACATAATGATTTACCTAATTTTTATTATTATCTTTTCGGTACTATTAATTTGTGCAAAAATATTCCCATTGTTTGAGGATAAATGAATACCGCGATTAATAACCATAAATAAAGATATAATTTTTTAACAAATGCACATTATTGGGCGTTCCATGGCCGAAAATGGACAATGCCCTTTGGAGTAAAACAATTCCCCTTTCTCTATACTTACCATGAAGATTTCCTGCTATGTTTGGAATATCTAAATTCATACACTACATTTTTACTTAATTACTTTTTACATTTTTACCTATTTATTTTATTTTTACAACAATTAATATATTACAGGATTTCTTTATACACAACGTTCACAGCTTTCTTGTCATTAGACAATACAAACATGTTTTCCCTAGAGGTTACTCTTGAAAGAGCGACATACAGTTAGCCATGTGAAAAACAGTCAACGCTCAAATCTAAGCCAGCAACGTTGAAGGTTTGACCCGGCGATTTATTAATGATCATTGCAAAACATGTTTTTACCGGAAACTGTAAACGTTTAAATTGGAAGGCTAAATCCGATGGTATCAGAGGGATTCGGGGAATCAATACATCTTCTCCGGTACCACATCCTGTGAGTATTGTGCACTCTATTATGAAAGTTTTCAGTGATTTTACCAGCAAACGCGTGCCATTGCAAAGTTTAGGTGGATTCAGATTTTTTAATAAAATAACAATGACAATCGACTCTCAACACCATTTTGTGAGGAGGGAGTCCAGACGGGTTCAAAGAGTTTAAAAATTCTGTAGGAAAATGAACAGCTTCTTCCAAATCTAGAACAGTATCGACCGAGTAGTATATTTTCGTCGGCGCATCAATCTTTGAAAGAATCAAGTTATTTACCTTACCTTATCTACTTGTTCGTTAGTTGGTGACAAAATCGCTCTTTCTTTAAACCAAGATATTGTCTTATAACTTTGTTATCTATGTCAGGATAGACATTGTTGATTAACACTTGTATGTTGTCTATCAAAACACAAAGGTTTTCAAGGTTAATCCTTTCCTGACTTTGTGTTAACTCTTCATTGCCAACTTTTAGCAGCATCTCTGGAAATAGCCTGTTCTCACGTGAAGATGACGAAACCCTCATATTAGTTTTAAGCTCTAATTTATTGACATGTGGCCAAAGGTTGGATCTTTTTAGGGAAGCATTTATTTCGTCAGCACGTGTTCCTCGAGTCACAACTGGTAGGATTTGACGAAAATCTCCAGAGACCAGAATTGTACATCCACCCATAGGTGCATTTTTGTTGCGCATATCGCGCATTGTCCTATCCAGTGCTTCCACATACGTCTTGTTTGACATGGTAGCTTCGTCCTAGACTATTAATGAGCAGTCACGCATTAATTTTCCAGTATTGCTCTGTTTAGAAACACTACGGACGCTGTTATTGTCATCGGTGGCGATTTTCAGCGGGAGCTTGAATGTAGAGTGTGCGGTTCGACCTCCTTCTAAAAGCGTAGTGGCAATGCCGGATGACGCAACAGCTAACGCAATTTTTCCGGTAGATCTCACTTTTTTTAAAAGCAGATTGATTAAAAATGTTTTTCCTGTACCTCCTGGGGCATCAAGGAAAAACAATTTCCCTTCATTGTTATCAATTGTTGATAGTAATGCAGTGAGAACTTTTTTTTGATTGATGTTTAATCGTGGCTCATATTGAGATATATTTTGTAAAAGTCTCGTTTCATCATACGATGTTTCTCTTGTGTATTCGGCACTGTTAGTTAAATCTGAGTTAGTAGTATTAGCTGGCGTCGACAGCCCAAAATCTTTGATCGATTTACTCGAAAGTAATTGCAGTACTTTATGCAATTCAAATAATGCTTCGTCAAATATGTTTTGATCATATTGTATATCACCTGAGTTTAACTCTCGCCGTCGCCGATTCAAAATATCACTGGCCATGTTTTCATGAAATTTATTCCATAGATTAACAGAATCAGTTACTTGACAAAACGCTTATATGACAGCAAATAAATATCTTAATGATGTAGCTGAACCACAAACAGCTGCTTCTGATAATGTGTTTTCCCAGTGAGAATCGTCTTCCAAGAGCCCCATAGTTTTGCATACTGCTTGATAAGTATTGTAAACAACACTTTGTACAGTTCTTAGGTGTGCAAAGGATGTCGGGCCTTTTACAATATGCAGTAACATTCTCAGATAAAAGCATTCGCTGTTTTTGGGATGAATAGACTCTGCCAAGAGCATCCGTTTTTTTTACTCCGGGGAAACCATCAACCGCTGTACCTTGTTTTCGCCGTTGAAAAGTTTTAGAACTCTGGTTCCATGTATAGTAACTTGGAACTCTGTCATATGTCAGTGTTTTCGCGAAATCATCTTGAGCACATAACTTGAACAATGTTGTCAATGTTGTATCCAGCGGGTTATTAACAACTTCTTGTATATCGTTCTCCATGAAATATAATACTCTTTGTCCATTTTCTAAATGAACTACAAGGTGGACAATTGTGGGAGCCCGGTCGTGCACTTCGAATGATAAAATCCTCCATACAGCTTCAGAGCTGCAGATGTAACGTCTACGTATGAACAAATTATACCTATGAACAAATTGCCATATTATTAGTATGTGCCGCAGTAAAAAATATCTAAATACTTACCATTTAGAGACAAATGATTATCAACAATCATAAAAAACAAAAGATACCTATTCTATTAAGTTCTTTTTCTGAACTTACTTACTTACGATTTTATGAATATTCTACGAATATTAAATTGATCTAACTCTAAATTTTAACCAAGATCTTAATAGAAAATCCCAATCCATAAATTGTGGTTTTTAAGCTATTGCATAGCTTCTATCGCGGGCCTTGAGTGCGGGAAAATCCAGAAATTTCGTAACGAAAAAAATCTCACGCTCTCCGACGGGCACGGAGGTGTGGCTTGAAGGCCGTGCATTGTCTAACGATGGTCTAACGTCGTTTCTTTTCCTCAGTCTTCGACACGGTGTTTGTGTATAACGTGTTTTGAAATTTTGAATATGAATGAACAAAGTGCATTTATTATTAATGAAGAAAGTCACGAAAAAATAGTGAAAGAAAATGAGTGAGTACTCTATATACATCCCTACATTTTATTATTATCACAAATGCAGTAATAATTTTGAATTGAAAATATAATACTGCTATAAAGATAACCTAAATTTTTGATATTAAAATGAGCGATACACACACACACGCGTATAGTTTAAATTCTCAATTTAGATTCTCAATATGTATATATATACTCGATTAACCGGACTAATTGTTGGCGTTAGGGATTCGGATAATCGAAAATCCGGATGATCGAATCTACGAATAAAAGCGGGTTTTGTGCATTTGTAGTACATATGTACATACATAATGTTATGTGTTTATTAAAAACAACAATCTCAACGAAAATCAATGTTTATTAAGAAATTATTATTTTTTAATAAACATTGATTAAATTCCATGAAGAGATATAAATCTATATAACCATCCGTTACTTGCGACAAACAAGCCGCCGTCACCTAATTTTTTATTTAACTGTAATGCTTTTTCACAAAGCAAAGGGCCAGATATCATTTGCCCAGTTGATCGTTTTTGTAAAAACCAACAATACAAAGCGTCTTCTAATTGCCAATTTACTCGCGGACATAGGTCCTTATGTCCGGGACGGGGGTTTGTTAGCGCCTGATAGTACATACATATACATAAACACTCACGCCTGTCACCCAGAGGGGTAGGCAGAGACTACAGACTTCCATTTGGCACGATCCTGACACACCTCTCTCGCCTCCTTCACATCCATACACCTCCGCATACATGCTCGTCGGTTAAGGGTACTCCTAATTTGGCCCGTTTTCAATAAATCGCCAATTTGGTCGATAAATTTTCGCCTAGGACGTCCCTTTCCGACTCTGCCATTCACTTCTGCAACATAAATTTTCTTTGTCACTCTTTCCTCATTCATTCTTTCCACATGACCAAACCACCGAAGCATTCCTTTCTTAATCCTGGTCACAACATCATCTGATAGTATATCCTCTTATCTCAAGCGGTGTGAAGCGACAATTAGTGAGGTGCGGGAGGGGGAGGCTAGCTGCATTTGTGCGCGCGGTCGGTCACCCCTAAAGTTGGGCGTTATAACATACAACAGATAATATATTTCATTATATATTTTTAATCTTACAACACATTAGAATAATAAACCATTGACTGTTATAATATTATATTCATTATCGTTAGAAAGCGTCATCTGTTTACGTTTACGATCCAACCGTCGCGTCGGCCGAGACAATGTGAGTCAATAAAATACTACCTACATTCATTATGCCACAAGGATTGCGTATAGCTTACACTAATTTAAACTCTAAGCTAACTTAATAAGAGCTTATTTTACTAACACAAACGCGAAGCCGGGTTGTTCATATATTGAAAGTCTCCTTGTTTTGTCTTAGACTTATGTTAATAGAGCGTGCCATTTGAACTTAAAGACAATTAATTGGACAATAAATAATAAGTGACAAATCTTGCCGTGGAGCGTGGAACTGAGTAGTTGCGCGTTTTGTTAATATAATTGTCGTACGGCCGCCCTGACGTATGTACTGCGCGAACCTGAGTTTTTTGCGACGCGGTCCGGTGATACAGTAGAGACCTCTGGCCCGCCCGAGGTACAAAAAGTTAAAGAAGAATTTCGCATCATGCAGGAACTAGGCATCTGTCGTCCTTCGAAGAGTGCGTGGGCTAGTCCTCTCCATGTAGTTCCTAAGAGAAATGGAGATATAAGACCTTGTGTGAACTATCGCCAGCTAAATGCGATAACAAAGCCCGACAGATACCTGATTTCTTGCTTGAATGATTTTACTTTTATTCTTCCGGATAAAAAGATATTTTCAAAATTAGACATCAATAGAAGTTATCATTTTATACCTGTCGCAACGTGGAGAAAACCGCTATCATAACACCATTCGGACTTTTTGAGTTTCCTCGAATGACATTCGGTTTGTGTGGTGGAGCACAAACCTTCCAGCGTTTTATGAAATCCATTTTACAAGGGCTTGATTTTGTCTTTTGTTATTTAGACGATTTTCTTATCGCTAGTGACAACGAAGTTCAACACAGACTACATTTAGAAACTTTCTTTAAAAGGCTTAATAAATATGGAATTTCAATTAATTTGGTAAAATGTCGTTTCGGATAAACTAAACTAGAATTTTTGGGACACGAAATTAGTACGAAGGTATCAGGCCGTTGCAAAATAAGGTTCGGGTAATTGTGGAATTTCCGAAGCCGAAAACTGTTGCAGACTTGCAGAGCTAAGACGTTTTCTCGGTTTGGTCAATTTTTATCAAGTTCATCTTCCCAACGCTACTTTATATCTAACAGAATTAAATAAATGTCTTAAAAGCTCAAAGAAAAATGATAAGACTCCCATCGTCTGGACGGATAGTGCGAACGAAGCATTTACGCAATGTAAGGCAGGTCTCACACAGGGCGCTACATTGACGTACCTTAGAGTAGGTTCCGCACTTGCTATAATGACTGACGCATCTAATACATGCGTGGGAGCAGTTTTGTAACAAAAAAGAAAGAGATAGCTGGAAACCATTGGGCTATTTCTCGAAAAAATTGACCACCACCCAACAGCAATATAGCACATAAGATCGCGAGTTGCTCGCTATATACTTATCTATAAGACATTTTCGTAAATTATTTGAAGGTCAAGAAATAACCGTGTATACGGACCATAAACCTTTAACTTTTGAATTGAAAGCGAAACGCCTCGAAGAACGAGACATTTAGCTTTCATAAGTGAGTTCACTACAAATATAAAACATATAACTGGTACGATTAACTAACTTCGTAGCTGACACCTTATCGCGCATTGAAGCCGTGACTATGCCAACTGCGTTGAATTTCGATGACATTGCAAATGAGCAGCGTAGCGATAGTTATATCACGAATGTTATGTCTGGTTTAAATACCGATAATATTTTGTTAAAGGAACTAGTTATACCTATGTTAAATAAGTCTATTTTTTGAGATGTCTACTGATACAGCTCGTCCGTACCTACCGGAAAAGTTTCGACGCCTAGCTTTTGATAGTTTTACATAATTTGAGCTATACTGGAATTCGTTCTATGCGAATGATGTTAGCTAAAAGGTATTTCTGGCCTAGTATGAATAGTGATGTTTCTTCATGGGCAAAAACAATAATGCAATGTCAACGTTCTAAAGTTAACAGACATACGGTATCGAATCTGACTAAGTTTCCGGAAG